CCCCCCCCCAGCTGCGGTAAATGCGGCGCTCTTTGGCCTCGGAGAACCTGCAAGGCAGATGTCGCCGTGCCCGAGTTTTTCGGGCTCCACGGCGTGCCTCTGCCAGGGAGAGGCAAAATAGCACGACCCGCCTCGAGCCAGCCAGGAGTCGAACCTGGAATCTTCTGATCCGTAGTCAGACGCGTTATCCATTGCGCCACTGGCCCGCACGGAGGCGTCTGCCGCCGCGGATGCTTTCGTGAGGACGCAGGCGCCGGCGGGTCCAGGCGAGGCGCGCTCGCGCCCGGGCCGCGCTCCCCGCGGCCCCGCTGGGCTCCCGGCCGGTCACCTGCAGCCGGCTGCTCGCTCCGTGGCGTCCGTGCTCCCCTCCGCGGCGTCTTCTCCGCCCGCGACACCTCGCCATCCACGCGTTCGCCCCGCAACCAGTGTTACCGTCGGAGGCGCTGGCAGTGGAGCCCTGAAGAAAAGCGATGTGGTCCCTTGTCCATCGACAAGATGACAGGGAAGCACTACGTGAGGAGAATAATCATGATGAGCATTTGGAGGAAAACAAAAAGACCGGGAAGACCAGGAAGGCCCGGCGGAGACGGTGATTAACGAGACGGAAACGCGGGTATCAGGGAAAAGAGCCTGGAGGGGCGAGAGCGCGCACAGACCCCCCGCTTGCGAGGACCGTGGATGTGATCTGTTGGGACTTGGAGGTCGTGGTGGGGTGGCGTGATCTGGCGTGCTCTCTTGTCTCTCCTTCGGTCGTTAAAAAATGTGTTTCAGTACTTACCAAGCAAGGCTCTGCGCTAAGCACCCGCTTGCCTGCGCGCCTACCGCTGGGCCTGCGACTCCCAGTTTGACACCTTTGAAAGGGGCATCGTCAGCTCGCGCGCGTGACTGCGCGTGTTCGCTTTCTCAGGAAGCCAGTAAGCATCTCCCAGGTGTGCGTTTCAGTCTCCAGAATTCTTGAGAAGTAATCGTCGTCTCCATGCCTGGGTGAGCATCGCAGATAAGTTGACGGCTGTTAACCGAGTGAAACTGCCTGACATTGAGGACCATATCCACTGAGTGTAGAAAATAGTCGTTTTCAGTTCATAAGGTTGCAACGGCCCTTAAGAATGATACAGGTGTTCCTGCTCTTTCTGCATAACCTTATAGTAGACCTAGTTAGGAATCTCCCCCTGGACGATGGAACAGGAGACCTCTGGCCAGGTTTTCTACTTGTATGCCTAGGGCACTTTGGTGGTTATGGACTGCCTCACAGAATAATCGTTTCGGCTAGAAAGAAAAAAAGATAAATACGTACGATTTCAAAGGGAAATCAATTACACTGAAATATGTTACCAAAATATTAAAAACGTATGCTGTGTCAATATTTTTCCTCCTCTATCAATGCACTAACTGACAATGTACAGCAGGTCTAATCAATACCGTAATTTCAAAGCACTAATGAGCATCCATGATATTTAAAGAGATTTGTAACAACCGTAGTTTGATGTGAAATACTTGTGATCTCCAAAAATGACAAAATAAAAAGGGCTGAGATACAACAGTAATTTGTTGCCAACACTCAAGATGGAATAAAACACAAAGTTTCAGTATCAAGTTCGTCAAGATAAATATTTATTTTCCCATCCGAGTTCACAGACTGTCGCCTCCCTATAAGAAGCGAAAGGAGATTTCTGTTCTCAAGGGCAGTTTGGAAACACGAACACTCACGCTTGAATGTTGAGAAATGAAGCAAACTGGGGTACTTCTCGGTTCTATTCTACCCTCATCACATACCCAGGATGGGCAGGCAGGCCAGACCCCAAGGCGTCCCTGGAGCCACGGGTCGCGTCTTGCACCTCTAAAATGGGCTTCAACTCAGCTAGCTGGAGGCCCCGTCCACATGTTCTCTCCTCGGTGTCTGCAGAGACCTCCCTTCGTTGGGCAGGTTTTGAAAGCTTCAGCGGCCTCCAAGTTCTCTGCGATGCTCACAACCTGACATGAGCCAAGGCATGCTTTCACTTTGTTTTTGGAGAGCTTTCTAGGGGTCACCTTTTCTGAGAGTTCCAGTTTCTAGCGTTCAGTCTTTTCTTCAGTGGTTGTATCAGTCAGAGAAACAGAGTCCAGAAAAAAAAAAACAGAACTAGTAAGAGAATATGAATGAATGAATGAATGAACGAATGAACGAATGAATGACTATTTCAAAGCCTGGCAAGTCTGAAATCTGCGGAGCAGGCCTGTAGTTTAGAAAATCTCAGGCAGGAGCTGATGCTACAGTCTTAAGACAGATTTTCTTCTTCCTCCGGGAAGCCTCCATTTTGCTTTTAAATAAAGCCTTTCACCTGGTTGGAAATAATAATTCATGGGAAATAATAATTGGTTCGGCTGGCTGGCTCACCCGTATTACTGAGGATCTTACAGTCAACTCATTGTAACCACGTTAACCCACGAAGATATTTACAACATATCTTTACAGCAACATCCAGATTAGTGTTCAGTTGAATAACTGGGTACTGTACAGCCTAGCCAAGTTCACACATCAAGATAACCATCGCAGTGCACTGTTCTTCTGGTTTCTCTCTCAAGCATGTGGACAATGGCACTCTCTGCCCCTCCTGTGTTTCTTTACATTATTGTCAGCAGTCTGTGACACAGAGATCCGCACCTTCTCCAGTTTCAGATGCGAGGAACAGAGCCAAGTGTGAGAGGCCCTTCCACGGGCTTTGCCGGCCACACTGGGGATTGCGTAGAGGAGAGAATTCGCGCCCAGAGTTCTGGAAGCGATTGTTCTAAGTCTCAGTTTTTCCCCCAAGATTTGTCTGCGGCTTGTTAAACAGCTGCTTTGACTTAGCGGCATTTCACTGCAGATTTTGACCGCTGGTGACCAACCAAAGGAAAACCCCGACCAAATACTCACCGCTCTGCTGTCTTTCTGATAACCTGCCACAGTTTGGTCAAACCATAGTAGGTGTGGCTGTGCTCTTTATGATTATGTTGGCTCTCAGCACACTAATAATATAATAGCTAATCTTATCATATTAAAGAAATAGGTGCTTATTTCATGGAGGCTCAAACCGATTTCATGTTTCATAGACTTTCAGGG